ATTTGGAAGCCACTGGAATAGATGATTTATTTATATCCTAGTTTAGGTCTCAAAGAGGCTAAATGCTCCTTGAAACTCTTTGCAAAACTCTGCATGCATGGGTGGATGTGTGGCTCACCTTTTCCTGGGGAGACAGTTCATGGCCTCCATGAGACTGATAAGCCCATCTGAAACCCCCTTCCCAGTCTGAGGAGTGGACCTGTGAGGTCTTAAGCTCCTCTTTGTTCTTTCTTCTGCCCACCCCACCCCCTCCGCCCACCAAACTTTGCTCCTCCATCATGAAAGGATCTCAAGGCCATTTCTTCTCCGGCACAGTCTGTCCTGAGGAAGAAGCTGTCTCCCTGCCTCTATTGGCTGAGAGGAATGGCAGGAAAAGAGAGTGGGGTGGACTTTACAGAGAACCACTGAGCTGTGGAGTAAGAGATTATTGCTTGGCAGTTGCCATGGGAACCGATAAACCACCTTGTCGCTAAGAAGCCAGAGTTGCCTGGAGCATCAGCTCCCAGCCTTGTCTTTACCTCCTCTTTACCCCGTGGGTCCTTGGCCCCAGAAAGGCCAGTCCTTTGCCCAATTTGTTTTCATTCCTCATCTCCCACTGCAGCAGTCTTCTCTGTGTTGACTTGCCAGGATCACCCTTACCTTCTGGACTCTTGGATTGTTTCTCTTCACTGGGATACAGCATTGCGGCTAAACATATGGATTCTGGAGCTAGACTGCCTGAATTCAAAGCCCAGATCCAATCATTTCCCAGTTGTGTGACACTGGCAAAGTACTTAACCTCTCTGAACCCCAGTTTCCCTCACTATAAAGTGGGGAAACTGTGTCCCTGCCTCCCAGAGTTCTGGTGATGACTCAATGACGTTATACATATGAAGCTCCTAGCACAGTGCTCAGCATATAATTAGTACTCTGGGCTTCCCTGGTGGCTCAGTGGTAAAGAATTCACCTGCTAAGGTAAGAGATGCGAGTGTGATCCTTGGGTCAGGAAGATTCCTTGGAGAAGGAAATGGCAAACTATTCCAGTATTTTTGCCTGGGAAATCTCTTGGATAGAGGAGTCTGGCGGGCTACAGTCCATGGGGTTGCAAAAGAGTCAGACACAACGTAGTGACTAAACAACAAAAAGTATTAGTTACTATCATCACTGTGAGTGGTTTCTCATCCCCTTGTCTTCTGGGCCATTGTTTGGGCAGTGGCGGGGGTGGGGGTCCTTCTAGCTACTCACCCCAAAGTCTGTGATGGCTGCGAGGCTGGTGGATGGTGTTAAATGTAACTGACATATCCATTCTTCCACTGGGTCAGCATTTGCTCATCACCTAGTCTGGGCCAGGAAATGCGTGGAAATCCAGAGGTAGAGTCAAGGTTCCCGCCCTAACAGAGCTCATGCCCTGAGGTCTGACACTCATGCACCAGATTACTGAGATCACAACAATGGCCATGTCCAGAGTTGTGATGGGTCAGGTTAGAGGAGGAGCTGGGATCAGGGGAGGCTGCCTGGAGGAGGAGGAGCCTGAGTTGGGTCTTAAGGAGGCTTTCCAGATAGAGGGGGACAGCATGAATCAAGGCATGGAAAAGACCAGAAGTACCACACGTGTGCCTCTGTGCTTTGGGCACTGGTGCGCTGGTAAACACCTAACAACTTGCTCTCGAAACAAAACCAAAAAGACCCTCACCCACTTGTAGCAGTGGCCAATTTCCATGGTGTAAATATTCTCACCATGGCCAATTTCAAGCTACCGATGTGATGTCACTGCATGTGAGTTTGAGACGCACACAATGGGCTTTTGAGAGCCAGTGTGAGTGGGCTGCACCACGCCATCGGCTTTAGGGGCTCAGGCTGGGGGTGAGAGAACAGAAAATCAATTCAGTGTTACTGGAGAGAAAATTCAGGGCAGCTAAGGGCCTGCTCTGGCTGATGACTTGTGGTTTTTCTCTGAAGATCCTTTAACAGTCCTCGATTCACTCATTCAGAAAATCACCAAGCACTTTCATTGCACTTGTTGTGTGCCAGGCAATGTGCTAGTTCTAGGGATCATGCCTTGAGGTCAGTGGTTAACACCCTGCCCTCCACTGTAGGGGGTTTGAGTTCAATCCTTGATTGGGGAATTAAGATCCTGCATGTCACACTGCACGGTCAAAAAAACCCCAAAAAACAAAAAACAACTACTAGAGTGGCATGTAGATCAGGGCCAGGAATTATCAACAAGACAACTGTAAATACAACTTTTCCTCCCAGTAAGCCCAGCAGATCCTCTCATCCATACCTGGACTCTTATGTTTTGGGAAATTTGATCCTTATCCCATGTCTGGGATAAAGCATGGGCATTCCACGTTTTGGAAGCCCAGGGAACTCTATGGGTCAGGTGCCTAACACAGGTCTCAGAATAGAATCCGACCCCTAAGTTGCCTCCCCCTCCCTCTCATCTCCCATTTTTCTAGAACACACACACACACACACACACACACACACACACACACACACACACTTGTCTCCTCTAAGATCAACCCTCTCTCTCACATATGGCAGACGGTTCACTCCCCATAATTGTTTATCAAAAGACTCCAGAACACACAAAAATCATTTTGTTGCCACACGTTCCGTCCTATAATGACTGTTAGTTTCAATTAGCTGTCAGAGACCAGAAATAGAGACGCATGGTCCCGCTCAGATATATCACCACTGTGGTTTGAAAGTGGATTTAAGGCAGCCTGGATGTGGGGGTGTGGATGGAGGGGATAAATATGCCATCATTTCTTCACTCCTTGATGTTCTGCGAGTTTGTTCTCATTTCCATGTCCCCCCCCCAACGCCACCCTTTCCTGCTGGCAGATTGCAGACTGTAAATTTGAGGGGAAATAGTAAATGTGCAAACATGATAAATAAACATGTTGCTTTTGTGGGGACGGATATTATTATCATCCAGATTTATAGCTCTCCACGCCTGCACGCTTATTGCATTTGGGGAAAAAATGGAGCGAGGTGTTGATGTTACATTGATCAACTTTCTGCCTTTCACCCCCGTCACCCGCTATGACTCATTTAAATATCAGCCTAGACTGGAAACACTGTCCGTGTCCCTGGGAGTGGATGCGTCTTGACAGGTGTTTTCTTTGGGGACAGTTATTTATAGCTGCAAAAGCTATCACCCTGTAGGGGGCTTCTGTTTCCTCCCTCCCCCTTTTCTCGTTTCTCTAAAATCGAACGACTATTTTGTTTTCCCAGCAGGAAACATTGCCCAATCAATGATTTAAATCTCTATTCCTGTTTTCTCTTTTCTCTCTCTCCCCGTCTCTTCCTCTCTGTCTCTTTATATTCTACCCCCTTCTGCCTTCCATCTTTGGGACAGGCTCTGGGTCCTTCCCAGGTTCCAATCCAAGAGTCACCACCAACTTTTGTGCCACAAGATCCAATGACGGGCCATCCCTGAGCCTCTCAACCCACCCTTGGGGCTGTGCTTTTTCTCCCATGCTCCTTGTTGCCAGTTTATAGGGCGAATTGCCTGAGATATTTCTGTGTCTGTTTCCACCTCCCTTCCCCCAATGTCACCCCAACTAGATGGTGAACTCTCAGGGACAAGGAGCTTACCATCCCCCCCCCCACTCCTCTACCCTTTCTCCACCTCAAAAGCCCTCCTTCTGAAGATGCTCAGAGTCTTGGTGTCCCCTTGCCTGTCTCCCCCACCCTCCCCCATGCATCCAGTCTGTCCCCAAGTCCTGTGGACTGCTTCCCTAGGTGTTTCCACTCTGCCTCTGACCCCACAGCCCCTGCACCTCTCGTATTTTTGAATGTCCCTAAAGTGCTTATCTCTGACCACTGTCCCCCCGCAAGAGGATCCATACAGCAGTGTCTTTACTGACTTCCTCATCTCCAGGCTTGTTCCCCACCCTCTTGGTACTTAATGTCATAGCTAAGGGACGGGGCAGTGGAACGCGTGCCTGCAGATTCTGTTGCTAAGGAAACCACTTCCTTGGTTACCGGGCCGGGTAGCATTTGTCTCACTGTGTCTGGATCCCAGTGAGTCACCCCCACTCTCCAGGAAGATGAGGGGGAGGAGGGAGGAGAGGACAACAGAGGTGGAGAGGGAGAGAGCGAGCGAGCAAGAGACAGGCAAAGACAGAGACAGAGATAGAGAGAGGCATGGAGAGACACATGGACAAAGAGAAGAAGAAATCAAGAAAGAGAGAACGCAGTCAGTGAGATTGGTTCAGGGATGGGGGCGGGGAGGAAGAGACAGAGAGGAGAAAGACAAGAAAGAAAAGAGGTTTAATGTGCATCTCGAGGAAATAAAAGAGACCCCAAAGAGAGAAATTGAGAGCAGAAGGCAAGTGTAATAAGGAAAAGCAGTGAGGGGGTTAGGGATGGGGAGAAACACCAGTGCGAGAGAGACGGGGGAAGGAAGGAGGAGCTGGTTCCTGAAGGGCCTTGCCCCCGGCAGCCCCTCCGCCTCCCCATCCTTTCCTCCGGCCCCTCCGCCTCCCCATCCTTTCCTGCTGCCCACACTGTCTACCAGGGATGTTTGTAGCAGCCTCAGGGATCCTGGAGAAATCAGGAGGCAGTCCCCGCTGTCAGCAGATGCAGGCCCTAATGCTTCTCCTTGGCTCTGGAGTCACAACATGCTGGGGGAGACAGCGGGATGGGAGTCTGGGGGTCCCGGCTTGCAGGCCAGGCATGTCCCAGGCCCTGGGGACCACTGGATCACCGAGCTCTCCTTCCTCCTCAAAGGCCGGGGTTTGGAGGAGGGGCACACAGACACGCCAGACATGGGGCGGTCATCACGCCAGCTGGGGGGGGGTGCAGTGTCCCCACACAGAAGGGCGGCTGAACACGGAGGCAGAGACAGTTCTGCACACCAAGACACACAGTTCTTCACAGGCAGTTAGAGCCGCACAGACACAAAAGCAATGACGCACCCAGAACATTCCTGTCTCACACACACACACACACACAGCAGAAAAACATCCCTTTTGTAACCTTGCCTTACACGACACTCCATCACGTGGTAGAATTATCAACAAAACTTGCTTTTAATGATGGTGTTGACCTGAGGAGTCTTCAGACAGAGGCTGGTGGCCTGAAGAGACCACCGGCAAAGAAATGGCCCAGGTCTTGGACCCAGAGTCTCCCAGAGAGAGAGCTGACCTCTTAGAGGGCGGGGAGGCCAAGCCCTCTGATGCTTTGAGAAAGAAGACTAGAAATTTGCCTGGGGGAAAGAAACACGGTACAAAATACATTCAGAGCCCCCTGGCTGGGCCCTGGGGTGGCCCGAATCCTAAAGATGAGGGGCTCAGGGACAAGGACAACAGGTCCGATCCCCCAGCCCTTCTCTTTGCGTGGCTGGGTTCCAAGGGGATGGAATGTATGAGTCATATTCCTCTTAGAAAAATATATCTCTTTACACTCGCCTTCTCCATAGTCTCTTGGCTGTTTGGGAATGAGCATTTACCTGCACCCCAAGGCTTCAGAGGGGGCCGCTTGGGGGGCTGTTCCAGACAGAACAGCGGAGGAGCTGTGACCTATGGCTTTTCCATCTACATGGTGGGGGGGGGGGGCGCAGGTGCGCACGTGTGGGCCGGATGCGAAACCACGGGTACCCAAGGTGAGGGGAGAGCGGGAATCCTGGAACTTGATGCTTTCTAAGACAGATAATCAGCCACCGAGTCCTTTGGATGGACGTCTCAGCATCGAAAGAACAGTGTCTGTACGCACATGAAGAACCATCCCATTCACCCCTTTCCTTAAAGGGCCCCCCCGGACTATGACCAAAGCGGGGGTCGCTGGTCTAGGAAGGTTGTGGGTATCTCTTTTGGTCATGGGTCCACCTGATTTGGTGCACACTTGTTCTCCCTCCTGGATAGGGGAGGACCCGCTGGTAGGGGTCGGAAGGGCAGTGTCAGATCAATGCGTGGGACCCCACGGTGGAGAGAGGTGTCACCCCTGGAAGCGAGTCACCTCCTGGATACAGCGGGGGAGGAAAGGGCAGAATCCCAGGTCCCGAGGTGGACACGCCACGTGGGGGGTCAGGATGCCAGTGACCCCACCCGGTGGCCCCAGTTAACCTACTCTGAGCACCACGGCCTCTCTGACCCATCAGAATGTCAGAAACCTAAGGCCACGGAGAAACCTCCCAGCAATCTTCCTGCAGACAGAGGCGGCCGGGACAAACTGTCAGCGGAGCTTCCTGGGTGGGGAAGGGAAGGGGCGGCTATGAGCGCTCAGCCCAGCACAGGGGCGAGTCTGGGGCCACTCTGTTCTACGCCGTTCCCTTTAGCTCTTGCGCCAGGGTCCTCCACAGCCGCGGCGGGGAACCCTGATCTCCGGGACGCCCAGGAGCCCTCCTTCCCACAGGTGCGGGGGGCAGGGACACGGGAGGCCGAGCAGGGTCCAGGCGGCAGGAACTCCCCAAACCGGCCACCCCTCATCTCCAAGGCGGGGAGGCTGCGAGTCGGTGGGAGGTGCCTGCACCATCTCTCCCCTTGAGCCTCCTTCGTCATGCAGGAAACTCATCGGAGGCCAACGCTAGGCCAAGGGGATGGTCCCTACACGGGAGAGCGGACTGGCGGGTGGGGCTCCCCAGGGGCCCGGAGCGCCCGGGGCCTGCTCGGTCTGGACGGCCCGCCCCCTGCCCCGGTCTGATCATCCATCATCTGGGGTAGTAGTCGTCGGGCACGCCCGTGAGGTTCCTCCCTCGGAGCGCCGCGTCCACCGTCTTGATGTAGGCAGAGATGGTCCTCTGCATGTCCGCCGTGTAGGGGTCGTACTCCAGCTTGCGGAGCCCCGAGCGCTTGAAGTTGCCGTCCTTCTGGCTCTCCACGCACAGCAGCCGGTCCTCCCTGGCGGCCACACCCAGCAGGCCCACCATGCGGCCCAGCTGGACGAAGAGGTCGCGCTTCAGGTCCTCGAAGTGCACCACCAGCACCTTCTTGCCGAACCGGAGCCAGTCCAGCGTGTGCGTGGCCCACCACGGGGCGTAGTTCCTCACGAACTCCGGCCATTCTGCGCGGACAGAGAGGGGAGGCTGGTCGGCCGTGCGCGCGCTGCACGCCGCGCCCCGAGACGGCCAGACTCGCCCCCGCCTCCCGCCTCCTGCCTCCCGCCTCTGCCTGGAACAGTCTTGGTCCTTCCTGCTCTTTGCGAGACCCAAGACACCTGTCTCCTGCTTACTCCACGCCAGGCACAGGCTTATATATAAATCTTTGCTACTCTATTTTTATATTTTAACAGGCACGCCTGCTCAGTCGCTCAGTTGTGTCCGACTCTTTTTCGACCCTGTGGATTGTAGCACACCAGGCTCTTCTGTCCCCGAGATTTCCAAGGCAAGAATACTGCAGTGGGGTGCCATTTCCTTCTCCAGTGAATCTTCCTCACCCAGGGATTGAACCTGCATCTCCTGCATCGGCAGGCACATTCTTCACCACTGAGCCACCTGGGAACCCCGCATTTTAACATGCAGTGATCTTAATATATAATGAGATAAATATATTACTATAGCTACCGATTCACATATTCCTCACAACAACCCTGTGAGGCAGGCATCCTCGTTATCTTCGTTTAACAGGAGGAACTGAGGCACAGAGAGGTTAGGGAATTTGCTCAAGGTCACACAGCAAAAAACTGGCTGAGCCGGGATTTGAAACCCAAGTAGTCTGGTTTCAAAGTCTGGGCTTTTATCTACCAAGTTACCCCATGTAGGAATAGAAATCCTGTGTAGTAACAATTCTTCTCATGGGATAGTAACAGGGCCTTTGTATAGAGAGCTGGAAAAAGCATACAAACTTTTTAGCATGGCTCCCCGTACCCTGTAGATGCTCAGTAAACGTTGATTATCATTACCACTATGATTATTCTGTTCTCAGATGAGATGTCATCTTCCCTGACTCCCCAGGCTCAGGCAGGTGCCTCCTCTGTGCTGAGGGCATGATTTAAGGTGGATTATTTACAGCGTCAACCCTAAATATTCATTGGAAGGACTGGTGCTGAGGCTGAAGCTCCAATCCTTTGGCCACCTGATACGAAGAGTTGACTCATTGGAAAAGACCCTGATGCTGGGAAAGATTGAGGGCAGGAGGAGAAGGTGGCGGCAGAGGATGAGATGGTTGGATGGCATCACCGACTCAAAGGGCACGGGTTTGAGCAAACTCAGGGAGACAGTGAAGGACAGGCAAGCCTGGCGGGCTGCAGTCCATGGGTTCACAGAGTCAGACACAACTTAGTGACTGAACAACAACAAGTTTACATTGTCATCTTGACACCTTTCTATCCAACTCTTTCTCTCTTTGCTCTTTATTGAAGCATCACACACTGTTCCTCTGTGCTGTTCATTTCCTGGCCATGGGAAAAGCACAGGATGGTTGTCACCAAAAGTGGGAACGTTTGTTTGGGATGTCCTGGCTCCAAAGACAGGCTACAACAGAATGTAGGAAATTCCCTGGAGAAGACCTCAAAGAGACAGCCAGCCAGCCCCTGGGGCTGCTGAAACTCTGATCAAGGGGAACCCAAGAGGGGGGTCATGAAGGATGCTGGGAACAGAGAAGGGGATTTGCAGCCTCAATTCTAAGCCCCAGCTGGACAGTAGTCACAGGACTGGTCCTTAGGAACCCAGAAAGGAACCCTCAGGAACCCATGACTTCTCACAGGGGCAGTGCCACCTGGCACCTCCCAGAGGAATCTCTTTATTGAATGAGAGTCAGCAAGTTTCCCAAGCTGGGCTGGGGAGCCCAGCTGGTCCTTCATAACTAAATTCTTACCCCTGTTGGATGATGGACACCCTTTATCTCATTTAATCATAGTAACTACCCAGAAAGGAAAAGACTACTGTTCATTTGTCACCAGTGAGGAAACGGAGGCTCAGAGAGGTGAAGTAATTTGCCCAAGGTCACACAGCCAGGAAGCACCATCCAGACCAGGCCTGCCTGATTCCAGGTCCCCATCTTTCCCAGGAACCAGCAGCCTCACCCCCAACTCCCTCCCACTGCCTTGCACCCAGCAGGGGCTTAATAAATGGTTGTTGAACTAAATTGAAATTCCCAGCAGCCAAGTGGCGATGTGATTAAGGGCTCCTCTTTCTTTGCAGAGCACATCAGAATCTGTGGCGAGGCTCCTGCTCCCCCAGCGCCTCCCTGGAACACCAGGGCTGCTTGGAAAATATTTATGCTGATGACAGAGGTATTTTTTTTTAGCCTTCAAATAGATTATTTACAATGTATCTAGCTAATTGGGCCCTTACTGTTATAATGGGTTAAAACCAGATGTATCTGTGTGATTAGGAAAAAATCTAGCATGTGTATAGTCTGCTTTCCTTATTTTGCGGAAGCATTTCCCCGCTCCTGAGTCATCTCACAGCATCCCTGGGGATTCAGGACAACTGCTGCTCCCATGGTTGAAGCCCAGGTGGATGGGGATGACGATCGGTCACTCAGTAACTCACTTATCTGGACTTCCAGGCTTGTGACCATCTCAAGAGGTCCCTGGAGAGTGGTCCTTAGGAAAAGGAAGGGTCCATCTGCATGATGGTCTGGGTCCCCCAGAGGATGGCTCTGGCTTTGGATGCAGGTGGGAGGGAGATGACATGGCATCTCTGTGGATTCCAAACCTCCCTGGGGTGGGAATGTACATTGCTTGAACACCTACTGTGAGCCGGGGGACTGTGCCAGGCACTTTACAGGCACTGTCTCAGACAGTGCACACACGAAGCCTGGAGAGGAGGAATTACCAGCTCCTTTTTACGCACGAGAACAAAGGAGGCTCAGAGACATGAAGCCACCTGCTCGAGGCCACACAGTGGGCGTCCATGGCAGGATCTGAACTTGCATCTATCCCTGCCCTCCGGGCAAACCCTTTAAGAGCACCTGACCTGCCCATCTCCAGCATTCTTCTCGCCCCAGATCCTAGTCTACGATTGCTTTACCTCACCTTCAGGTATCGTCTAAGATACGGGGTCTGTTCACAGATGACTTTCGACTCAGATTGCCAGGGTTCAAAACCCAGCCCCTCTTTATATTGGCTGTGTGACCTTGGGAACACCAAGCACTGTCCTTGAGCCTCAGTTTACCCATCTTCACAATGGAAGCCTTGCTAAAACCTTCCCACTCTACAAGCAGAACTGGAATAGGGCTTGCAGACCCTACCACCAGGCCTGAGACACAGGAAGTGCTGGATAAATGTTGGCCACAATTATTGTTATCTTTTTTGGCCTCATGGCATGGCATGTGGAATCCTAGATTCCCTGACCAGGGATCAAACTCAACCCCCTGCAGTGAAAGTGTGAAGCCTTAACCACTGGACTGCCAGGGAAGCCCCATGGCTACAATATTCCTGATGTTGGTACCCGACATCTCTGAGATGCCATACGTGGCCAGTCCTTTACAGGCAGCAGATATTTGCTCCCTGCATGCCGCTTCCTACAGCAGAGATGCCTCACTTGAAGCTTCTGAATGACTTCAGGAAAGAGGAACAAAAATGAAAAACAAAAGCCCTCAATTAGCTCAGGATTCCCGGTAATTGATAGCTGCCTTCAAATTGGGTAATAAAGGCACGCTACGCCATGGACCACCGGTAATGAGTGCTGGTTCTGCCGGAACTGCTCCCCACGTGGACCTGGCAGGACACGGGCTGACCACTCTCTGCTTCATCTTGTCGACGGGAGGAACCGGGGCCTGATTAATACCTTAACTGTATCTAATTCCCCACGGAATCATTAAACACGGTCTCTGTTTCATTAAACAGATCCAGGACAATTCACCTTGTGTAATCGTATCACATAAAACTTTGCTTTGGACTCACTCCAGGGAGATCGTAAAATTAACGTTATGGAACCAAAAGCTGGGGGTGGGCGGGCAGGGGGTGACAGGAACCTCGCCCCAGCTGTAACTGGGAGGGGGACACGGGCAGGGTAGGGTGGACGCGCTCGGCAGGTGGCTGACCTCTGCTCTTAGCTGGGAGTGACCCTCACATTCTAGGCCGATGGTGTCCTGAAACAACGATTCTCAAACTCTAAAGTGGCCGTGAAGCTTCTGGAAGGAATCTTGTGGAAATGCGAGTTCTGATCCAGGAAGCCTGAGGTGGAATCTGAAAATCTATGTTCCTAATTCCCAAGTGATACTGACGCCGCTGAAGCAAGGACCCTAAAGCAAGGGTCTCAAACTCAAGTGCCTCCAGGAGTCAGATGTTAATGAAACTGGGAGGACTGTGAGGAGGGGGCCCTTTGGGGAGGTTCTCAGGCAGGGCACGTGAAGGCCTGGGTGAGGTCTGGAAGGGAGCACCATCCCAGACTAATGCGGGGGCCCCAGGCCCGCAGTGCGAGATGTGTGTCCCCACACTTCCCATCCCCTACAGTCTTTGGGCTCAGCCTCTCCTGATGTCCCCCTTATCTTTGGTTTTAAAGTTCCCAGTCGTCTTGCATGGGGAAGAAGAGGCAAGATGGCTCCTGGGAATTAGGAAATTGCCTGAACCTGAGAGGAGGGGTTATGCCAAAAGAGCAGAACCTTTGAATGCACCAGGTCAGAGATACCCCAGGGTAAGACAGGGCCTGGCAGCTAATGCATGGATTTGAATCTCAGCTCAGTCAACTCCTGGCGCCTGAGACATGTGACTCACTCCCTTCCTGGGACAGTTTTCTGCTACCAGTGGTGGTGGTGGCCCTTCTTACCTCCCCAGGGAATCAGAAGACTCAAATGAGGTAATGACTGCTAAGTGCCTGGTCACATGTGAGCTTCCCAAGTGAGTCCCCTGCTTTTTATTTGGAGCAGTCGGCTTCCCTGGTGGCTCAGATGGTAAAGAATCTGCCTGCAGTGCAGGAAACCCAGGTTCAATCCCTGGGTCAGGGAGATCCCCTGGAGAAGGGAATGGCAACCCAGTCTAGTGTTCTTGCCTGGAGAATTCCACGGACAGAGGAGCCTGGCGGGCTACAGTCCATGGGGTTGCAAAAGAGTCGGACAAGACTGAGCAACTAATTTTTTTCACTTTCAGGATTACTGGGAGGTGGAGAGCTGGGTCTAGTTTTGCTATCATGTGCCTGAGTGACCCTGGCAGGCCCCTGTCTCTCTTTGGGCCTCATCTTCCCCATTAACAGAGAATGAATCAATTCACCTGCCTGCGAATTAAAAAATACCCGTGTCCAGGCTCCACCCCTGTAGCGGTCCAGTGTGCGGTCTGAGCCCCGGGATTTTCCCACACTCCTCCTGGGATTCAGATGTGCTGGCAGGGATGAGGACCCTTGGGTACAGTGACCTCCTGGGTCCTTTCCTGCTCGACGGAGCATCTGCTGTTGGAGCAGGATCCTGCCATTGGCGCCTGCAGGCTTCTCAGCCTGCATTGGCGCCTGCAGGCTTCTCAGCCTGGCCACAAATAATGTTCATTTTTGATTGTTCTACAAATAAATAATTCAGAGACCTCTTTACCCTCTGGGTACTAATGTCACCCACTGAGGGAGGGGGTCAGCAGGGGAAAGGATAGACAAACCTCCTGGGCAAACTGGGAAGCCAGGGCACACACAGTTGGTCAGGCAGGCCCAAGGGTTTTCATCGATGACATCAGTGCTGGGTGTGATTGGCTGGGTTAATGTCATCCTGTCTGCTCTGGTTTTCTCTGGGGAGGGGCTGGAATGTGGAGCAGCTGTCAGGGGCCGGGGGGCAAGGGGAAGGTTTGGAGGGAGTGGGAAACACCCTCAGGGCTAGAGGCTGCAGCAGCCTGGTTCCTCGAGGCTGAATGAGGCGAGGAGGGCTCACGTTTACAGAGCACCTGCTTGGCATCAGGGGCTCTGCGTCGGAGGATCTGTAGCCATGGGCATCCTGATCAATTCATTATTGTAGCTCAGTGGTCCCTGGGTTCAAATCCCTGCTCCACCACTACCAGGAACAGCACCTTCAACCTCCCTGAACTTAGGTCACCCCATCCACAACACAGGGTTAACTGTGGGTTTTTACAAACACTCACGGAGGTGGCTGTCATTACAGTAATGGAGACATGGGTGATGACTGATACGGGGGCTTGAAGGGTTTTGATTTTGGAGCTCTCCCCCACTATGGTGGGGCCACCGCTCTTCACCGAGACATTCTCCCATTCTGGAATCTACTGAGCACCAGAGATGAACACCAAACTCAGGTCATCTTAATGAAGTTCGGTGCTTGGAGACTGATGGTGTGACTTCCCAGCTGTGACCTGGGGCAAGTCACTTAACCTCTCCGAGTCTCTGCTGGGAGGGTTTATTGGAATGATGCTCATAGGAGCTCACAGATGACCTCATGGCCACTCTGCCATAGACCTGGGTTCAGGTCTCTTGATTCCCAGGAAAGGGTTTGGAACCTGCTTTGAATCAGTGTGGGAAAAAATGAAAGTGGCTCAGTTGTGTCTGACTCTTTGCAACCTCATGGACTGGGGCCTCCCAGGCTTCTCTGTCTGAGGGATTCTCCAGGCAAGACTGTTGGAGCAGGTTACCATTCCCTTCTCCAATAGATCCCATTATCAATTACATGAGGGTCTATTGAGTGCTTCTAAAGGGTTGACTTCCTGAGTTTTATTACCTCCACTTTATAAACTGGACAATCCAAGTTCATGGAGGCGAAGGAGCTTTTCCTGGAAGTGGTGGAGTTGGAATTTGAACTCAGGAAGTCTTGCTCCAGAGCCCAACCCCTAACCACTGTGTCATGATAACAGCCTGGCTCACAGAGGGTGATGCTCGTGGGCTGAGTGGCATGTGGGAGGCATACATTCTCAGCTCTAAGTGCGACCTGGAACCTCACACACACACACCCTCAAGGGTGCCCTCCTGATCCCTGGCAGGAGCCAGCTCTGGCCCCTCGCACTGCCCTCGGCTCCCCGGGACCCGGCCCCCACTCCCAAGGGGTACCTTTGCCCTTCCAGTGGGCGTGGGCAGCGAAGCCGATGTGCCCGCCGTACTTGCGGTTGAACTCCGCCATGAGGGCCTTGTAGGGGTTGCGGATGAGCAGGATGGCCGCGTCGAAGGCCTCGATCTCCTTCTGGCCGCTCTCGTGCGTCTTGATGCAGATGGTCCTCCCGCTGCGCCAGTGATCCCGCTCACCTTTGAACCCTTCCCGCAGCCGGGGAGGGGGCCGGGGGAAATAGGAGTGAGCTGGGGGAGACAGGAGGCCTGCCCCACCCTGTCCGGGCCACCCCCGGGATCCTCAGACATTCACTTGTCCACTCATTCAGTCACTTGCATGTTTATTGAGCACCTACTATGTGCCAGGTACTGCGCAGGGAGCTGGGGAGAAAACGACTTGCAAAAACACTCATGGGTCACAGTTTTTGAAAGCCAGACAATTCAAATAGTGACACGAATATAAAGTCACTGCCCTGGTTAGGACTGCAGGAGAGGAGAAGTCACGCCCAGGTGCTGTGATGGGGGGCCTGACATGATGTGCCTGAGGGTTCCCCTTAGGGCAAAGTCCACATTTCCACCCCACTGATGCTGGGAATGGCCACACGGATCGCTTTGGCCAATGGACTGGGGGTGAAACTGGGTCTCGGCCAACATCTCAGGACCCAGCATGTTTCTGTTCACTTGTGTGTGTTTTGGGGGTGTCCCGGGTGGCTCAGTGGTAAAGAATCCCCCTGCCAAGGCAGGAGATACAAGACACACAGGTTCCATCCCTGGGTCGGGAAGCTTCCCTGTAGAAAGAAACGGCAACCCGCTCCAGTATCTCGCCTGGAGAATCCCATGGACAGAGGAGCCCGCAGGGCTGCAGTCCATGGGGTCACAGGGGTCAGACAACAATCAAGCACGCTGCGCACAGCACACACATGTGTTTCTGCTGTCACTGTGAGAAGGACATGCCCTGGAAAGCTGTTGGTCCCAGAGGGTGAGAGACCCATGGGATAGACATGGGTCCAACCTGCAGTCTGGAGCTGAGCGGCCCAGCCAGCCTGGCCAAGATCACTGACCCAGTCGGGCAGCATCCAGAAAGGCTTCCCGAGGCAGGAAGGTACTTAGGCTCAGAACTGAAGGACAGGGAAGAGTTTACCATCCCAGGTGAGAAGAGCCAGTGCAAAGGTCCTGTGGTGGATGGGAAGAAATGTGTCTCACATGAGCCATTGGTACAGGACAGCAGAGGGCGAGAGGGGAGCATGAGGCCAGAGAGGATTGTAGGGGTTGTAATGACGAGTTAAGTCTGTGCAGAGTCGCTTCAGCCATGTCCGACTCTTTGCAACCCCGTGGACTGTAGCCCTAGCCCGCCAGGCTCCTCTGTCCATGGGATTCTCCAGGCACGAATACTGGGGTGAGCTGCCATGCCCTCCTCCAGAGGATCTTCCCGACCCAGGGATGGAACCTGCTTCTCTTCTGCCTCCTGCACTGGCAGGATGGTTCGTTACCACCAGCGCTACTGCTGGACCAGAAAGACCGCACGGTCCTTGGAAGGATGAAAGCAAAAGGAAGGAGGGACCTGCTCAGGTTTTCGTTTCAAATGCTGAGGAACTGAAAGAAGCTCTGGGTAGCTGGTGGTTGCTTCTAGAGCACCGACTCTGTGCCGGACACTGCTCTAAGTCCTTTACATGTCGGGGACAACTTGATCCTGTCAATAATCCTATGAGGGTTTTATTTGATTGATGAGGAAATTGAGTCCCAGAGACATGAAATAACTTGTCCAAGTTACAGAGCTGGCAAGAGGCAGAGGTAAGGTTTCAAACCCAAACCATGATGCCACCCAAGACTATGCTCTTCACCATGTCAGCCTCTCATGCCTGTGAGAGCCAGGGCATTTGGGTGATCTCTTCAAAGCCAATTAGAATGCTAATGTACTAGGCTTTCAAGATGCTAGCTGTGTTTCCAACTCAGTGAGTGATCTGGGACATCCTGTTGCCTTTTGGGCCTCAGTTTTCCACATGAGGTGCCCAGCATACAGTAAGAGCTCAAGGAATGACTTAAATGGAGGGAAGGTTCCAGACACATAGTAGGTGCTTGATAAACGGATGCAGGTGAGATACCAATGACATGATACTCAGGAAATGTTCGTGGGATGTAAAGCGAAGGGAAGGTACTAAGCATGTGGAAGTGTCAGTCGCTCAGTTGTGTCCGACTCTTTGCAACCCCATGGACTATAGCCCGCCAGGCTCCTTTATCCATATCTTGCTTTCTCCAAGCAAGAACACTGGAGCGGGTAGCCATTCTCTTCTCCAGGGGATCTTCCTGACCCAAGGACCGATCCTGGGTCTCCAGCATTGCAGGCAGATTCTTTACCATCTGAACCATCAGGGAAGCTCACTAACATAGTAGTTCTCAATCAACAGGCCCGGGAGAGCTGAGCGGCACGCAGTAGGTGCTCAGGAAGGGGTACTCCCACGTCCTTCCAGGGGGTCCGGGCCCCATTTGCCTGTGCCTCCTCACCTTTGTTGTACAGAGAACCATCGAAGTAGTAGCTGCCAGTGTAGAAGCCTGTGGCCAGCTCGATGAGGTGGCGAGCCCACGTGTTGCCGGCTCCCGGGAAGCTGGCCAGAGCAATGAGCTGCTTGGACTTGGCTGGGAGGAACCGTCTGTCCATGCAGCGGTTGTCTGCAGAGGGCAGGGCACAGACAGGAGTCAGGGTCAGGGGCCGATCAGAAGGGGCCTGGCCGGAAGGGACTAGGGTGTGAGTCTCAACCCTGCCGCTTCCCAGCTGTGAGAGCTGGTGCTTCCCGAGCCTGCAGTCTCCTTATCTGGAAATGGGAACAGGGTTATGAGATAATATATGAGAGAAGGATGCACACACGGTAGGGATTCAACAAAAGCCAGCCAGGAGGAACGAGCCTTCTCTCCAACCTCAGTTTCTCAGCTGAACAGTGAGGCTCTGTCTTATCACCCCTACACTTTCCTCCAGGTTAAAACCCACAAATGGCAGCCATCGGCATGGGGCCCAGGCCAAGGTTTTCATCTGGACCTCCAAGCTCTGTGCGGCCTGGCCCTTGCATCCTGCTAGGCTCATGCCACCCCCCCCCCCCCACTCTCCCTTCCAACCTCTGCACCTGCCAGCACCGCGTCCATCTGCACTCTGCTCCTGCCTGGGCAGTGTCAGGGGCGCTGGTCCCTCAGCCACGACCATCAGAGCTGATGGAAAGTGTTAGGTCTCGGCATCTCCCTCTGCAACCCCTCCTGGAGCTAAGAGGTCACAGTGGTGATTTTTTTTTTTCCTCTCTACACATACAGGTGATGGCCCAGCAAAGGAGATTCGGCAGTGGAAAAGGAAGAGGAAAGAATCCTGGATTTTTGGTCCTACCACTGCTTCCTCAATCTGGACCGATGACCTCAGTCCTCACCATGAGGTCATGGCAGGCAAGCCTCCCTCCCTCCCCTGCCCTGGCTTTCCTGCCCCTTGAGCCCCAAGACTGCTCTCTCACCCTCTCTCCTGCCCTATGCCCCCACTTTCTGGGAAGAAGGGAGTGACCCCTGCTCTAGTGTCTCTGTTCCATCTCCTTTCTCCCCCCGCCAGCTCATAACTCCATCTATTTCCCCTGTCTTTCCTCTCTCCCTCTTAGCTGACTTAATCATTAGCATTCAAACACGAACAAACAACTCCATCATTAAAAATAAAAGTGCCGCTCCAGTAAGCGCTCTCTCTCTGCACCCCTGTGGCTTCCTGGGTGGCTCAAACGGTAAAGAATCTGCCTGCAACGCGGGACACCTGCGTTCGATCCCTGGGTCAGGAAGATCCCCTGGAGGAGGGCATGTCAACCCACTCCAGTGTTCTTGCCTGGAGAATCCCATGGACAGAGGAGCCTGGTGGGCTACAGACCATGGGGTCTCAAAGAGTTGGACACAACTGGGCGACTAACACTTTCATTCCATACCCCATTCAGTCTCACTTTTGGCAGAGTTGTCCACACCCCTATCCCTTTTCCTCCTTCCACCATTTCCCAGGGCTCCTCCAGGCTCTGCCTGCTCACTGCACAGAATCAGCTTCTGCTAAAGTTACCAATGACCACCCAGCATTCAATCCAGCCTCCCCTCACTTTGTTAACTTGGCAGCATCTGCTAACTCCCATCATCCTGCCCTTAGAATCCTTCCAAGATGGTACCCTGGTCTTTTCTGTTCTGTATTAGCTGCCATTATTGAAGTCTCACCATGAGTCACACTGCTTTCTCAAAAGAGCCCTTCAAGGGGAAAGTCTGAAGTCCTAAACTTAAATTCCAATTCTGCCACCTCCTTGCTGGGTAGGTAACCTTGGAAAATTGATGGATCTGAATAAACCTCAGTTTTCTCACCTGTAACATGGGACGCTGATAATGATGACATCCTGGGGTTCTCAGGAAGGTCAGAAGAGAGAACGGGTATTGAGTATGAACACAGGGCTCACACACTGTGAGCTCTTAGTAGTGATGCTACTAGCCAGAGACCAGATCTCTTCCCCTGCCATGCACATTTTATCTGTTTGTTCAGAGGAGAGCAGACTTCGGGAAAACAAACAAACGGAAAAGCATCTTTATCAAGCCAAGCAGGTGTCTGGGAATAGTTTTCATGGAAACACACTGCAAAAAAGGACCTTAGATTCAAAACTTTCTGGAGCGCGGTTATGTTTTCTAATTTTGACAGGGGTGTGGATTTGATAGGACCCAGTTGGCATTAAACAGTACACTCAAAATTTGTGCATTTTGCTCTATGTAAATGTTACTTTGAAAAACCATAAGCAAATATTGAATTACAATTAGTGATATGAGGACTGAAATGTAATCATGTTGCAACTACTTTGAAATGCATCCAGGAAGAAAAATTGAGGGATGGAGAAATGAAGAGATGCATGAGAAAGTAAACACACCATAATGCTGAGAAATGTAAAATCTGTAGGATAAGTCTAGCATGTTCACTGTGTAACTAACTCATCCCATTTTTTTCTGGAGGTTTGACTCTTTTTTCATAATAAAATGTTGGGAGAGAGAAAGAACCAGGTCCCTCAATTTCCCCTGAAAACAGAATTCTCCATTTAACTACTGTCTGGGAGGCAAAATAAAGGTGCTTATTTTCAGCATTAAAAAGGAAGTTTATTTGGTTCTTAAGCTCCACAAATCAAAACAGATGCTGGAGGCAGTGTAGTACATAGTTGGAATCAGACAGACCTGGCTTCAGTCCAGGATGATCATGGCCTAGTTGTGCTATGTTGAACAAGGCCTTTTACCTCCCTGAGCCTCAGTTTCCTCACTTCTAAAGTGGGGCTAACAAACCTTACAGGATCAGATGGACAATGCACGGGAAGTATACGCAGTATATGTCGAGAAGCTGAGATTAGGAGTGCAGGCCCAGGACCCAGATTGCCTTGGTCTGAATCCCAGCTCTGCTCCGTCCTAGCTGTGCGACTCTGGCCGAGCTATTCAACCTCTCTCTGCGAGTTGCCATGTTTATAAAATGGTAATAATTGCAGTACCTATGTCATTGGACTGTTGTGAGGATTAGATGAGTTAATTCAGTCTAAAGAGCTCAGATAGTACCTGGCACACAGTAGGTGCTCAACAAATGGCAGTCATCGTGGACCATGCTCTTGGTGGCCTCATGAGCCACGTGACTCTCAAGCCTCCCCAGGGTGCGGGGCCTGCAAGTCCAACATGGGAAGCTGGAGAGCAGTCGTGGCCTGGGAATGAGCAAACCCATCAATCGGGGGCTACTGAATAGGCTCCGGTGTCCCGTTCGCATCAGGGCTGCTCTTGGTCGTGGGATAATTAAGCTGAGTGTGACCCTTCCCCCAACCTGTAGCTACACAGTTCTGTACAGACAAACCAACGCTTCCTGGAAACTAACAAACACTCATCCTTCCTCACTGGAGTGTAAATAAAGCCAGAGGCCACCCTGGCTAAACACATTCCTGCTCACTGAGCTCTTAGCGGGATTCAGCTGCCAGGGAGGAAGCCGCAGTTGGCCGCCACTACCCCACATCAGGCCACACAGGGGCAGGCTACTGGTGGGGCTGTCACTAGCTCTTACAGACCTTTGTGCAAATCAGATAAAGGTAGCCTCCGCTTCCCCTGAGCAGATGCACTGTCGTCCAGAGGGCACAGCACAACAGGCAGAGCACGGGCTGGCTCTCAAGCATCTCTCTTCCTTCAGGCTGTGCCTGTGCACTGCTCAATCTGCCCAACCACACGAGGTTAGGGCCCTGGGAGAGGAAGGGGAAGTCTAGCCCAGTGGTGTTTTGTTAGTTCTCCAGGCTTCAGAGGGTGTGGGGAATGTCCTTCACACTGTGGTCAGAGGTTTCTAGCATGGCCTTTGGAATTAGAAACCTGAAAGCAAACCACTTTTGCAGATGTGTGATTACGGCCAGTTCTCAACCCCTCTGAGTCTTGGTTCTCTCATCTGTAAAATGGGGATGATACTGCCCTGATCACAGGCTTACTGTGGGCTTTCTATGATTAAATGAGATGAGGCTTGGCACAGGACTGACACATATAGGTGGAGAGTGTTTTCAGAAGTTGGAGTACTCCTTCACAGGCTTTCTTTGGGCTGAGCATCCCAGCAAGTTACCTTTCCATGTGCCATCCACCCTTCATCATGCCTCCAGCAGGAGAAAAGATTTTCATCTAGAAATTTTGTAAGCCCCATGATCTCAGGCAAGTCCTGTTCTGAGTCTCAGTTTCTCTACCTGTAAAGTAGGCATAATGACTGTTCCCGACTCATAGGAAAGCTGAGGGGAATCAATAAGAAAATGCACACCAAGGACTCAACACTGAGTCTGGAACAAGGAAAGTCCCTAAGTGCCACCACCACCACCACCACCATCATCATCCCCATCACCATCATCCCCCATCACCATCATCATCACCATCACCATCATCATCCTCACCATCACCCTCACCATCATCAGCATCAGCATCAGCATCATCACCATCATTATCACCATCATCATCACCATCACCATAATATCATCACCATCACTATTATGACCATCACCATCATCATCACATCACCATCATCATCACCACCACCATCATCACCATCCCAATCATCATACCCATCTCCATCCCCATTATCCCCATCCCCATCATCCCCATCACCATCATCATCACCATCATCATCACAGTCTGGTACCCCCAAGAGATGGAAGAAGAGATAAACATCAAGTTGTGGGTTCCACTGGCAAAGGGAGGCAAATGAAAGTAGAAAGGATGAGTAAGATGGAGAAAGAGAACAAAAAGTTATACATTTGCAGACTCCTAGAACTGGAAGGCCAGCAATCTACAGCTTCATTTTACAGATGGAGAAATTGAGGCCCAGAAAGGGGAAATGACTTGCCCAGGATCATGTGAGTAATCTAGTTGGAGGTCTGTGTTGAAGACCCAAGTCTCCCACTCGCAGCTCAGATGTCTTCTCGCTCAATCTCTCTGCCCCCTTTACAGGAAGAGGCACCAAGGGGTTCCTCAGTGTGAGGGCTGGAGAGGAAGGTCTCCAGAACCATCCCCCTTGCTGAGGGCGGCTCCCTATGCTGCCCCTCCAGGATCTCTAAGCCTGAAGCCTGGCCACGCTCGCTAGCCCTGCCTCTGCCCTCTGTCCCCTAGCCTGTACGGCTCTCTTGCTGACAGGCTGGCTGGAGCACCTCTGGGTGGGAGGCAGCCCCTGGGAGAGCTTCTGGGGGCCTGCTGCGTGGGGCGGGGGCGGGCTCACCTTGGACCTGCGTCTGGTACACGATGAAGTAGCTGGGGGTCCCGCAGCTCTCGAACTCCTCCGCGCTGCACTTCTGGGCACAGAGCTGCTCGTCCTCTCTCTCGTGGAGGGGAAACCGTGTGGTGGGGAAGCCACAGTGGCAGGCGGTGCCCGCAAGGGCTGCCAGCGGGTACTCCTGGGGATGACGTGTGAGAGGAAGGGAAGAAAGTCACTGACTCCCCGGGCAGCCTGGACTCCGGATGCAAACAGGATTTGCACTCCAACCACCACCTTCTCCATCACTCTCCCTGGCTCGAGGGTGCCCAAGCTTCACTGGGAAGATTCTGTCCTGTCTGTCTCTTGTACTGTTATATTTTCTAGCTCTCTTGAGCTATAACTGACAGATAAAAATTGCATTTATTTAAGGTGTATGACTTGATGTTTTGATATATGCCTACATTGTGAAATAATCGCCACAACGAAGCTAATTAACACACCCATCACCTCACATAGATTTACTTTTTGCTTTCCCAGCTGGTGCGAGTGGTAAAGAATCCTGCCAACACAGAAGCAGATGTGGGTTCGATCCCTGGGTTGCGAAGGTCCCCTAGAGGAGGAAATGGCAACCTGCTCCAATATTCTCACCTGAAAAAATCCCATGGACAGAGGAGCCCCGAGGGCTGCAGTCCACAGGGCCGCGAAGAGTCGGACATGACTGAACACGTGTGCACGAGCATGCACAGGCAGTATTTATTTGTTTCCTTTTGAAACACAAACTTCAAGTCACCCTTTGAGACTCAGATTTCAAGGGGAACTTTTTTTTTATCACCCCCAAAAGTAGCACTGGTTGAGAAGTAGCATTTTCATACCTTTTCATGCTGTAGACCCTAATACTATAAAACAAAACCATGTGATTAAATTCTAACTAGGCACTCTGCCTGCCAAGAACTCGAACCTGGGGTCAACTCCGTTTTTCCTGCAAAAGGGAGATTAGTGTAGTGGAGAGGGCTGTTGAAGCCACTGCAGCCCTGAGAAGCCGCTTTCTCCTGGAGGACCTGAAAGAAAACTGAAAAAGGAAAAATTTTCTCATGGCCATGCATTACACCCCAGTCAATCCTCCGGGTCTGACCATGGTATGAAGCCCATGCTTTGGGAAAAGCTGTCTGAAACTGTTCTTTTAAGCCAAAGAGGATGTCGTTACCCATGTGTAACCACCGTCTTTGCTGGGAGTTGTGGTTCAGTCGCTAAGTCGAGTCTGACCCTTGGTGAGAGGCTGCTAATTGCTTTAATTGCTCTTTGGAAGAGCTAAGTGGAGCAGGCTGGACCTGAGATTTAGAGGGCAACGGACTGTCCTTTGTCCAATTTGCTCAGACCCACGGAGCCGAATTCTCCCTGGTAGCTGGTCCAGGAATAATCTGCTAACAAACCAGGGTCACGCCTCTGGGGCTGGATCTGGTGAGCTTGGCCATGGTAGGTTTGGTTTCTTTCTCAGATACTGAATCTGAGCTACAGCACCTAGCCTTAGATCAGAGAGATGCTGCTGGGGGCAGGTGGCTGAGCCTGGGCCGTGATGGAGGCTGTTTTCTAGCCTGTGACACATACTGAAGCCTCCTCTGACCCGCTAAGTCTCAGACCCGCCACCACTTGGCACAAGCGGCTTTGGACCCCTGTCCACCTAATCCCCTCCAGTTTTCTCCTGTGGCCCCTCTAAGGAGATGAGGGGAAAATAGAAGAGAGAGGCTTGCAGCAGGGCCTTCCTGTACCCCGCACACCCCACAGCCTGCCCACGCCTTCCCTTCCCTACAGTTCTGTCAGCAGGACGCTCTCCACACTGGTTTGCCCTGTCACCTCACCGTCTCCTGTTCGTCCCTCACCTCCAGCTGATCTGTAGTTCCCCTCGGGCCCTCAGGACAGATGGGTGTCCACCTGGAGGGGAGGCCATGGGAGGGGGATTCCTGCCCAAGAAAGAAAGCGGGACCAAAAGATGGTCAAACCTTCTTTAATCTTATGAACAGCACCCCTGACCTTCCAGGATGCCTCCAGGGAGCAGAGCAAGCACTCAGGAAATGCTTGGTGACCTGAAGTTACCTGGCTGCCCTGAATGGCTCCTAGACCTTGAAGAGTTCCTGCAAGCCTCTCTCTGGGGGTCTCTGACTTGCGTGCATGCTAAGTCGTTTCAGTAGTGTCTGACTCTTTGTGACCCTATGGACCATAGCCCGCCAGGCTCCTCTGTTCATGGGATTCTCCAGGCAAGAATACCGGAGTGGGTTGCCAAACCCTCCTCCAGGGGATCTTCCCAACTCAAGGACTGAACCTGCATCTCTTATGTCTCCTGCATTGGCAGGTGGGTTCTTTACCACTAGCGCACCTAGGAAGCCCATGGAGTCTCCAGGGGAGCTCAGAAGTCAAGACCATAGATTTGGTGTCAGAACCCATTCTGCCATTTGCTTATGCTGTGAGCTTGGGAAGTGACTTCTGACCTGTCTGAGTCTTGGTTTTATCATCTGTGAAATGGGGATGAAAATTCCCAGTTCCTAGCCTTGTTGTGGGAGGTAAACTGTGTGACCCACGGGACAGAGGGGTGCATGGAGGGGCTCAATAAGTGCGGTCTCTACGATGTTGTTGCCTCTTGATCTTTCAGAAAGGTGCTTCATGAATTAGGAGCCTTAATGAAAGAAACAGCCAAGCAGGATGACTCAGAACAGGTGGGAGCATTCAGGAGTTGGGGTGTGGGCTGAGCACCCAGGAGGAGCCACAAAGCAGCCCCCAGCCAGTGCCAGCATCACTGAAGATAAAGACCACATCTTGTTGAATTTGCACTCCCAGCATTGAGCACAAGGGCCTGGCACAAAGGAGGTTCTCATCAAATATTAGCTGAGAGGATGAATGAGAGGGTAACCACTTTCTTGTAGTGGGGAACGGGGGTTTCTCCTGTGGACCCTCGTATAATTAGCTCACCTTGAATGAAGGAGGGAGTTTCTCAGATATCACTGGATGCCAGTGATGAGCTTAGCTCCGTGCTGGGTATCAAGAGTGGTCACAAAATGTTTCAGGCATAGCCTCTACTCTTGTGGAGTTCCCTGTCTGATTTGGGAAGAAGGATAAACAGTCAGCCACCCATCAGGGATCTCAGGCTGAGAAAGGACCATCCAGTTGGATCATCCAGTCCAACTGCTATCCAGTACCCGAAGTTCTGGATGCCACACCTGCCCTGCCTCTGTTTGCATACCTCCAGTGATGGGGAACTCACTCTTGCCCAAAGTGGGATTGTCCTGGGCTTTACCTGGCAATCCTTGACACCTGCTTCTAGGCCCAGTTCACACACCACCCTCACTCCTGAGCAATCCTCACTAATAGAACAAACACACTTCCTTGGAGGGAAAGAAACGGACCCTGCATAGCTCCCAGCCTTTGGATCCAAGTTCCCCTCCTGTGTCACACATCACATTCATAACCTGCTGGGTGGCTGCTCCCCCAGCCAAGCATCTCACTTCTCCAGCTGCCCCGCACCGCCCTCCCTGGAATTCCGTGCGTGGAAGCAGGCTCACCTTCTCTGTGCAGAGGTCCACACACTTGTCCACGGACATGTTGGGCATGGCAGCCGTCACAGGCAAGGCCAGGGAGAGGTTGTCAGGCCTGCGGAAGCAGCCTCGGAAGACTGCACTTCCGTCTGGAGAGCCAAGGGGAAAAGGAACAGTCAGATGCAGGCTGGGAGAACCACCTTCTGAAGGACGCACTGATGAACTGACGCCCAGCGGAGGAAAGGACACATGGTGGAGATTCGTGAGCTAGAAAATTCCAAGAATGTCCTCAACCCTAGCATCTCTGTCCACCACCCAGGTTGCTGAGATGTTCTTGCTGGGCCATACAATCCCGTTTTCTTTGCCACCATTCCTACATCTCACTTTTGCATCCTTAGTGGTGGCAACTTAGATGCCATGGAGGATTTTCGTGATCTCAGGAGAGGGTTAGGCATTTGAGATGGAGGGAAGCCAAAGGGTCCAGGGTTCTCCTGCTCCTTCTTCCAGCAACGGGGTGCTTCGCCCCCTCATCCTGGGCTTTAGGGGAGACACTCCGCACCTCAAGAGTGTCTGCCCCATGCAGTGCTACAAGAGGCTGATTTACCGGAGAGAGTCCCTTTAATTCCCTAATCTGGAAGCATCCCAGCTACACAGTAGAATATTTGGAGGCCATTGCTACTTCTTTAATGAAAGTCATCCTCAAAACAATACTCAGCTGTTATGTTCACCTGGGTTTTACCTGAAGCGCATCCTGAGACAGTGTTTTATTGAGGGCGTGCTCTCAGGAGAATGGTGGGAGGGAAGCGGGCAGAGGAGAGGAGCTAAGTAAGCATGTGACCTTGGCTGGGTACCACCTTCAGCCTGGAGGGTAAGAGGAATCACAGGGTTGGTTCCACTTTAAGGAAAAGGGTGTGACCCTGGCCTTGTCTGCCCACCCCTCCTCAATGTCTGTCATTTGGGAAGCTGTTGGGTCAAGGATCATTTTTCAGGCAAGGGGACAGATTTGAGCCACTGGTGGTAAACAGGATTTGGGTGAATACCTTTTGCATCCACTACAGATGTACATAAAGATTTATCAGTAAGGATGCTCATTGCAGAAATGATTTAAATTAACACATGAAAGGTGAAAACAACCTCAGTGTCCAACAATGAAGTTTTGGATAAATAATGTATGGAATGATGACACAGTGGGATTCTATGCCCCATACAAAATAATGAGGTTAAAGGCTACTTTATAGAGAGTTTCATCTCTCTAAAGATGTATTCAAGATAGAATGCCAAATAAAAACTGAAAAGATGACATTCCACCTATTATAAAATGTCAATTGTGTACACAAACTTTCTCTCAATATAAATCTCTAGAGGGTTATCTCTGAATGCTAGGTGTGATGGTTAAGTTTTGTGTCAACTTGTGAGGCTATGGCGCCCAGTTGTTTGGTCAGACACTGTTCTAGGTGTTGTTGAGAAAGTTTTTCATAGATGGATTAATATCTATAGTTAGCTGACTTTAAGGACACTTTCCCTCTGAAATGTGGGTGAGCTGCATCCATTCAGTTGAAAGAATGAGAGAGAGAGAGAAAAAAAGAGGTCTTCCAAAAGAAGTAATTCAGCTTCTGGATGTCAGGCCTGCCAACCTCCACAATTTCATGAACCACTTCCTTAAGCCAATCTCTTAATTTATACATTTCCACATATCCTGCTGGTTCTGTTTCTCTGGAGAACTCTGACTGACAGGATTGGATTATAGACAATTTTTGTTTTCACCTTTTTTTTCTGTAAACCTCTTTCCCAACCTTTTGACAGTGCACATTTATTTTTTAATATAATAAAGACAAATTTTAACAACTAAAAGTGGCCCCTGTCAAATTTATCGAAAGGCTTATGGATGACCATTTTAAATTGGGTTCCATGGTTCTCAAATTTGAATACATTTTTCTAGAAGCACAGCTTTCACAGAAAACAAAGGAGACTGTGGACGAGTGAACCAAAGCCCGGAGCAGCAGTAGGAGCCTGCTGGTGAGTGTCTGCTTTGTGCAGGTGACTACGATGCGTCATCCACCCTTCCGGGAACTTTGCAAATGCCATCTCATCCTACCTTCCTGAGACCTCTGCAGGGCCCATAGCCAACTCTCATGTGACAAATGAGAGAGACAGGACTTAGAAAAGGAGGTTGTATGACAGTATTGAAGACCCACTGTCAGCAAAAACATGCTGAGGATTATCTCAGAAACATGATGCTAACCCTTGGGGCAGGTGAAGCAAGCTGCAAAAATCGTATATCTCCCTCTATGTCTGTATCTGGGTCTATCTACTGGTAAGCAACCCCCCCACTGCCACCAACCCCCGCCTTTTTTTTTTTTTTTTTAGCATACCTATATTTAAGTGCAGAGAAAAAGATATGAAATTACTCCTTGGGCAGAAGGATGGTGGAGGAGGGGGAGGGAGTCTAGGAATGAAAATTTTAAATCTCAGCTGTCAAAGGCACCCTAGTGATTATCCCTACCACCTGGCACCCTGGAGCCTGAAGTTGTTCATGGTGGAGGGAAATCTAGCAAGCTGAGACGACATCTGGAATTGGGTTAAATGACTATTATCCGGAGCATGCTGCAGACTCCTGCTATCCAGCGCCATCTCCTCCACTTCCCCACCTCTCACTCTGGGCTGGGGAGAAGCGATGGTGGTGGGTGTTGTGGTCCGGGCCTCCATTTCCCCACATACAAATGATAAGGAGGAGGTTAGACTATGCAGATTCTCTTCTGTACAGGATGGCCCTCCAGCCTCCAAATGAAGAATCGTCACACCCCCAAAAACCACTGGTGTCCATGGTCTCCCATCCCATGGCCCGGGGTGCACAGAGGTGAAGCCCCATTTCATCGGTCACCCCAAGGAAGTTTTAATGACGCTCAGAGAATGTGCCATACAAGACAAGGATGGGCAGGAGAGTCAGGTGTTTGAGCAAAAGTGAAAGTGAAAGTCCATGGAATTCTCCAGGCCAGAATACTGGAGTGGGTAGCCTTTCCCTTCTCCAGGGGATGTTCCCAACCCAGGGATCGAACCCAGGTCTCCCGCGTTGCGGGCAGATTCTTCACCAGCTGAGCCACAAGGGAAGCCCATTTGAGCTGAAGCTTTACAGCAATGAAATGGGAGGCCGGAAGTGGTGTGTGCAAACCTTCATTTAACCAAACAACTCAGCTGGATGCCAGCTCAGGTGCCAGGACAAAGAGATGCTGGCCTTGCTCTCAGAAATAAGGGGGTTCCCCTTCTCTCTTTAGACTCTACTAGTGTTTACTGAGCCTCCACAGATGCCAGGCTCCTGGCTGGGCGCTTTGGATCCATTGAATCTTCGCAGTAGCCACGAGCAGTAGCTGCTACGGCTGGTTCAAGGAGGCACTCTGGCTTCCAGGATCCCAAAATTGCTAAGGACAGAGTGAAATCAAAGCCAGATTGCTCAGTATCCCAATTTTATGCTTCTTCCAATAATAATAATAACGCTACTATGATGCTTAGATGCTGATGCTTGCTCTCTCAGTCATGTCTGACTCTTTTGTGACCTCATGGACTGTAGCCCACCAGGCCCCTCTGTCCATGGAATCTTCCAGGCAAGAAGACTGCAGTGGGTTGCCATGTCCTTCTCCAGGGGATCTTCCCGACTCAGGGATTGAACCTGGGTTTCCCACATTGTGGGCAGATTCTTTATTGTCTGAGCCACCAGACAAGCCCTATAACAGCAAACCTTGTTTGTTACATAATTTAGGAGACTAATACACTTAAGAAAACATTAGTTTATGTTTTTGGGCACACAATGTATAACNTATGGGGTTGCACAGAGTCGGACACGACTGAATCGACTTAGCAGCAGCAGCAGGCTGAATACATGTGGCCTCGTTGAACACTTGCATCGCCCTGGAAGTATAAGGAGCCCCATTTTTTAAGACAGGGAAACTCAAGTCTCAGAGGACTGAAACCAATTGATACAAGTCACCCAGATTATGAGCAGAGCTAAGACTGGCATCTAAGTCTGAGATCTTTCCACTTTTGATGGTCTTATCAAATACTCTTCATGTACCAGGCACTGTGTAAACACTTGATACACTTTATCCTCCTAATGACAAAGCAGGTCTCACTCTTCCCATTAAACAGAAGGGGAAACAGGCTCAGAGGGGCAAGTGATTCCCTAAGGCCACACAGCTGACACGTATCTGGATACCAGTCTGGGAACATCTGAGCTCTGAGTCCCTACACTCTGAGCTCTCCCGCTCTAAGAAACCAGCCCCAGACCCTGTTTGAACATTTCCAAAACACTATGACGTATATTCACTCCCCTTTGACCTCTAACCATTCACAAAGTCAAGGCTGTCACTCTGGGGTCTCTTGACATTGGAGTTTGATTCTTTGTGAAAAGTAAAAGTGTTAGTTGCTCAGTCATGTCTAACTCTTTTCGACCTCCACGGACTGTAGCCCATCAGGCTCCTCTGTCCATGGGATTCTCCAGGCAAGAATACTGGAGTTAAAAAAAAAAAATACTGGAGTAGGTAGCTATTCCCTTCTCTAGGGGATCTTCCTGACCCAGGGATCAAACTCAGGTCTCCTGCATTGCAGGCAGATTCTTTACCATCTGAGCCCCCAAGGAAGAGGGAGGCAAAAGTCTGTGAATCTATCTCCTTAGAGGAAGTAGAATTCCTACCCTGGCATCTTCCAGGTGGTCCTTTCCTGCCTTCCTGGATGCAGGGAGGCCAGACTGCAAGCTGGGAAGAAGGAAGACTCTGTAAGCCCAGCACAGCCCAGACAGGTCTCCCTTTGACATTTAAGCATCTGCTAATGAGTCCCTGAACCCCCCAGCTTAGAAAGCGGAGCTGAACTGAATGCCCTGAATACCAAGTGAGGTGAAGTTTTCTGAGGCCTTCAAGGGCCAGAGAGGGATCAGCAGCTGCTGTTGCGGGTCTCTCTGGTCAAGGTGTCCACTGGGGTGGGGGTGGGGAGGTGCACAGTTTTGGGAGGTTAGTTATAGGAGCTGTTAGCTTGCCGGATGTGGGGGTGTTCCTACAGTCCTGCCCATTCTGCTTTTAGAGGGAAACCATGTGGATTCACAGAGAACCTTGTGATGTCCTGTGGGAAGGCTGGAATCCCAGGAGTCTGGGGAACTCTTTGG